ACAGAACTTAGCTAACATATAGATATGCACCTATAAAATAGAGATATGCACACATATAAAAAGATGCCTAATACAATTATGAAAGATATTATCGGAATCATTCTGAAACCACCAACGACAATAACTCTGAAATTTAGAGTAATTTACAAAAAAAAACGAATGAAAATGTGTTGCATTCTTTTGATATTTTTGGCGACTACACTCGTTTGTTCTGTCGCAGAAGCAAACACTCAACAAACAATCAATGGGATATGCCAACAGACAATAGACATCTAATTCTGCAATGGGATCCTTGCCAAGGCTACTTCCCCAATCATGAAAGATCTCTTGAAAGTGACAGTGACAGAAGCTGAAAGAATATCGCACGACACATATTTCTTCATCAGCACGATCCTTAGAAATGTTGGCGAGAATCCCGGTCTTCGAAAGTGTGTTGAAGCTTACGCTGTTGTGAACGTAACGTTGACAAAAGCTGTATCTCTCTTTAACAATGGACGGTATGCTGAGATCTTCTCGTTCATGGTTGATGTTTCCAGTGCTGTTGGAACCTGTAAGACAAATTTTAATGTGCCCGGTTATAATATCAATCCCATAATTGAGAAAAACAGAGAGACAAACGTTTTAGCGGCCATGGAAAAATCATTGGTCATATGATTTCTTCATAGTATGATTGTTGAAGTATTGATAATATAAGAAAAATTATTCACAAATGTTATAATCAAAACATTGTATTCAGAAGCTTCTTTATTGCTATTCTCCATAACAACATACAAGATGTATGTTCATCTTGGGATGAAAGTACGTGTTTGGATTTCAAAATCGAAATATAAATAGGGCATTTTTCAAATTATCCCAAATAAATCAAAAATATTATAAATTTACAAATCTCGATTATTTTTAAAGATTATTATCTTGTAAAGATTTTATGTGATCTTTGTTGTGATTTCTTATTGAAGTTGTTACCATTTGGTGTTTTCGCAGCGAAAAAAAAAAATAGATTGAATCTCTTCTTTTAGGTGTTCATCCTTTTCACATCAAAAATACTGATAATTCAAACATTTTCTGAATGGAAAAGCTACATCAAATTGTCTACTAGAGTTTCTCTGTGTTTGGTGCTATGCCAAGGAAATTTCTAGCATATATTTTCAGCTAAAAATGTAACAATGATAAGAGAAATATATTAACACACAATTTGATTCTAATTTTGTTTACTAGATTGTTGTTTTTAATTAAATAAAACAATAATATTTTTTTGATTGTTTTATGTATCTATACTATTAAAACATAATATCATTTTTCGAGATGTCTTTTTGTTTCAACAAAATTTACAGAGCAATACAACTGACTTAATTTAATATCTATGTTTTTATTTATATATTATTATTATTATTATTATTTTTTTTGAATTGAAATGTTAAATTAAAATTCAAAAAAAACAACCTTACATCAATTGTTTCTATAAGCAAAATTTGTAAAACCAATTCAAAACTAGATCAGAACATAAACTTCGACTTAGGGGGACTCCTTGCCGACCTTCCTAAGCTTCTTTACCAACCTTCTCAACCTCCAACCCAAACTCAAACCTTAAGCCTAGCCCTCACTCCTACTAGGCCCCAGCTCTCACTCCTACTGGCACTCCACATCCTTCTCAACATCAAACCAAACTCAACACAATAATGCCTAGCTCTCACTCCTACTAGACATCCCAGCTCTCACTCCTACTGGGGAAAAACTAACGTGTCAAGAACCAATGTTGCATCCAACCAACCGTCTTAGCATCACCTCTTCTCTGAATAAGAGTAATCTTGTTTCTCATGTTCTTATCCAGCAACTTAGCTATTAGTTCCACCGGCATTGCAACATCACCATGGCGTCTCCTATTCCTTTCTCTCCATATCATATACACTGCTGCTTGAAACATATACTTAAGGAAAAACATCTGCACCTTGCCTCTTGACAAGTCTCTCATTTTCCTCAATAAGCTGCTCCAACTCACAGTGTACTCATCGAGAAGGACTCCCTTCATCATCATTTCCCAAATCTGAACAGAGAAAGAACATTTAAAGAACAGATGCTCTAAAGTTTCCAGGGGCTCATTGCACAATACACATGAAACATTCGCATTCCCTCCCCACTTACTCATTCGATCACCGGTTGGGAGCCTACCCTTCAAAGCAGTCCACAAAATGAAAGAATATTTAGGAGTTGCGTTTTTGAACCATATTGCATTGTGCCAATGACAATGTTGATGTTTCTCTCTAATCACCTCCCAAGTTTCCTTCGAAGAAAAGGACTTCTTATAGTTACCTTGACAAGTTAACCAAAGAGAAATATCATCCTTTTGAACTCTACAGGATCTACTTAACTCAATCTCCGACTCCACTCTGTTTAGGATTGGGACTCTGTGATTCCTTCTACGATGTTTCCAACTATCTTCAACAGTGGCGTTGATGGTGATTCCCATGCCAATGTGACTACTCTCATCCAAAACACTATTCAGACATCCCAGAGATGACCAATTCTCAAACCAGAAAGAAGCTTTCTTTCCATTCCTCACTGCCACTTTGTACAATCTTCTTGCAGTATCCCTATATTTCAATAGTTTTTTCCACATCCATGATCCAGTCTGAGTATTCTCCTTGACCGTCCACAAAGATCCTTTTCTGATAAGATAAACTTTCACCCAATTTACCCAAAGAGAATCAGAAGAAAGTATCCTCCATATTAACTTCAAACAGCTCACGAGATTTATGTCTTTCAACTTTCTCAAACCAAGACCTCCTTCTTGTTGCGTTTTACTAATATCAGACCAAGAGACCTTCGCCTTATTACTATTGAGAGAGGGACCTGACCAAAGGAAATCCGAACAGAGCCTCTCAATCTCCTTCAAACAGCTACTGGGAAGCTTAAAAGCAACCAGCCAAAAATTTGCCAAGCTTGTGATGACTGATTTTATCAATTGTAACCGGCCAGCATAAGACAAGAATCTCCCTGTCCAAGAACCAATTCTTTTCCTAATCTTCTCAATTAGAGGCATATAATCCAGCACTGTCATGTTCTTTGTGAGCAACGGAAGACCAAGGTACCGAACCGGGAGCTTTCCTGTGGCAAAAGGGAAGTGACTTGTAATATCCATCTGCTTTCGAGCTGACACCCCTGCCAAGAAAAGAGTAGATTTTTCCAAGCTGATTTTCAGTCCAGACATCTTATCAAAAGTGTCAAAGACCTTCAGGATCTCCTCAATAGAATTTTTACTCCCATCCGTAAAAACCATCAGGTCATCTGCAAAGCATAGATGAGTTAACTCTATGTTCTTACACTTTGGGTGATATCCAATTTTTCCCCTCTTCACAGCTTCATCTAGCAGTCTTGAAAGTACATTCATACACACCACAAATAAATATGGAGATAACGAGCAACCCTGTCTTAATCCTCTTTTACTTTGAAAGTAGCCAGCAAGCTCCCCGTTCACTTGAACCGAAAAAGAAGCTGTTGTTATACAGAGAGAAATCCAGTGGATGAATCTATCCGGAAGACCCAGAGCTTTCAGAGCAGTGAGAAGGAAGGACCACTGCACGGAGTCGAATGCTTTTGAGATATCAATCATCATCGCACATCTTGATGAAATATCTTCTTTGTGGTAATCCTTTACGATTTCTGAAGCTAGAAGCACATTCTCCATGAGCAATCTCTCCTTTATAAAAGCTGATTGATTCCAAGAGATACATTTTGGGAGTATACTCTTCAAACGGTTGGCCAGAATCTTCGAAATTAGTTTGTATAACACATTACAGCATGATATCGGTCTGTAATCTTTCATCCCCTTGGTATCAGTCTTCTTTGGAATCAAAGATAAGATTGTTGAGTTAAGACCTTTGGGAAGGAATCCCATAACGAAGAAAGATTGAACCGCCACCGTAACATCGTTTCCTATTACTGCCCAAGACTCTCTGAAAAACTCTGTTGTGAAACCATCAGGGCTTGGGGCCTTACTCCGTGGCATTTTGAATAACACCCTCCTTATCTCATCTTTAGTAACATCTTTCATAAGGTGAGCTTTATCCTCGTCACTACACTGAAAATCCAGCAACTCCCTCAACCTCTCCTCTGTTACACCTTCAAACTCTTGAGGTTGAGCAGTCATGAACTCTTCAAAGAACCGCTCTGCTTCCTTTTTAATTTCATCCTCCGTTTTTAACGTAATACCATCAGCACAGTGAATCTCATAAATTGTATTATGGATCTCTCTTACTCTAGCAGCATTGTGGAAAGCTTTATTATTTCCATCCCCCACCTCCAACCAATGTAACTTTGATTTCTGCTTAAGAAACTCCTCCTCTAGATCAGCCAACCTCTGCCAATGATCATACGCCATCACTTCTTCTCTGATATTTATATATTATTAACAATAACAATATTTTAGTTAAATAGGTTAATATCTTTATTTTAGAAAAATAACTTTTTCTTTTTAGTTTAACGGGATAACCATATCTGAGTAAACACAATCTCTGTTAACAGTAAATCCTCCAAATTTTTGTGTATTGAAATTTATATCATCATTTTCTGGTGAATCGAAGAGGTTTCAAGATAACTGTCGAGTTATTTTAGCAATAAAGTTTGGCTTCCTGATAGATGTGACCTCGTCGAATCACAGCTTTAGAACAAGTTATAGAAACACACAAACTTTTGGGCAAATCATTATTGCCTCTTTTTGGCCTTTCATTGATTTATATAGAAACAAATACAAGAAGAAAAGGTGGAGACATCATCTCCTGCAAGTACGTGAAAGTGGGAAATGGGAAAGGTTGTTTCCTCAATATAAGGAACACGCACTCTCATTATTTAATTGAAATAAAAGTTATCTCTGGCTGTGTGGTGACAGCAGAGAAGCTCACCTATAGACATATAGATCCCGATAGGAGTTGTCCTAGATATATTGGTTTAGTGAAATCAATTAACCATTTTCTCTTTAAGTACTCGTGCCCTGCAGGTTTCGGTTTTATCGGACTATCCATCCATTCCGGGTGTCTTCCCGAATACATCTACATATCAAAATATAAACTTTATTTTTTGGAAGAGAAAAGAGGTGCCTCTACGGAGACCATAATTCAACACCTTCTCATGAATCTGTTGGTATATCTGAAAGGCGAGGAACGACAAACTCTTTAATGAGAAAGTCGTATCCCGATGGATACTCTTCAACATGCGTCTCTTGAGATAGAATGTTGGAGAAAAGCGAAAATAAGAGAGAGTCGACGAGGTCTTTGAGGTACCTCCTTTCTTGGAGACTGCGACAGAACCCCTTATGAAGATCGACTCGTCTGATCATCATTTGATCTAGCTTTTGATGGGCTGCTGACAAAAAAAAAAAAAAAAAAACTGAAACAAAAGCTTAAATAAATAAAAGAATAGAACACCGATTCTGTATACTTCGGTTTGGGATGATGGTTAGGATTGACTTCATTCGGTTTGATATTTATGACCCATCACTTCCATTAAAACTGATCTTAAAGGTACTTTCACGGGTTTTGCTTGAGGTTTCTATTCATTGGGTTCGAGATACTTTGAGAATCACTTCATTTTAAAGAAAATAGGCCACAACAACTATAGAACTATTAAGACTTGAGGTCTTTTCACAGTTCTTTGGTTTAAAT